GAGTGGACACACACTCCCTAACCCACACCGCAACTCAGGTACATGTTTGACATATATAAACACAAATATTTATCAGTATATCTAATTTTTCATCTCATAGGCAAAATAAATTTAAAACTAAGGTCAGTATTAAAAAATGATGAAATATAAAGAATAAACATGATGTTTCTCTCTCCTCATGCGTACAGTTGTTCCAGGAGCCGCAACTGTCATCATCATGGTGTGCGTGGGTTTCTTGGTTGTCATGGTGATTCTTGGTGTCTTCCGCATCCGTTCCATCCACCGCCGTAGTGAAGGAGCAAGAGGTGGAGGCAAAGAGGGCAGTAGCCAATGGGATGATTCGGCCCTCAACATCATTGTGAATCCAATGGAGGTATAAATACTAAAGTAGATACTACTGTTCAAAAGTTTGGGGTCGGTAATTTTCTCAATGTTTTTGAAAAGTCTCTAATGCTCACCAAGGCAGCATTTGTTTGATCAAAAACACAATGTGAAATATTATTATCATTTTAAATAACTGTTTTCTGATTGAATATATTTTAAAATGTAATATATTCCTGTGTTGGCAATGATACATTTTCAGCAGCCATTACTCCAGTCTTCAGTGTCACATGATCCCTCAGAAGTCATTCTAACATGTTGATTTGGTGCTCATTTCTTCTTATTATTAGTGTTGAGTAAAGTTGTGCTGTCTGATACATTTTCTCCAGGAATCTTTGATGAATAAAAAATTCAAAAGAACAGCGTTTATTTGAAATATAAATTTTTAGTAGCATTATAATGTCTTTAGTGTCACTTTTGATCAATTTAATGCACCCTTGCTGAATTAAAGTATTAAATTATTAAAAAAAAAAATATCCTACTGACCCCAAACTTTTGAATGGTAGTGTATCAGCATTCTTACTAATGTGTGTGGTATCTTATACACATCTTTCTTGTTATTTTCTCTCTCAGACATATGAGAACCGCATGGGAATTGCAACAGATATGGAAGGAGAGTGTGACGACGAGGAAGAAGTTGTGGATTCACCAGATGATACCAGTGATGACCAACGAATCATCAAGAAGGAGGGAAGAGACTCCGCCCCCAGACGCTACTGAGCCAATTAACCACACCCACATACTAAAACACCACCCACTCATTTAAAATACAGGAATATACAACCACACACACACACAGATGCACCATCAAAGAAAATGAATATTGTCTAACACACCAGTGACACAATTATAGGATCTCAGCCTCTGTGAATGCAATGCTTCTCTCTGGAATGTACGCTCCAACAATGCACAACGCATTCCCTCTTTGCCACTCTCAACCCAGATCCCAATATTTATTAATGGCACAATTATATGTTCATTCATCCTACAACCTTTCCAATTGATGTGCTCACAACACTGTATCGAACATAATGAAAACACTAATTGTCAACTCATATCAGCTAATTGACTCTGAATGTTTCAAATTACAGCCTTTTGTAATTAATATAATGTCTAGTGCCCAGTACACCGAGTACAAAACAACTTCAGAAGCTGTATTTCCTCTGCACAATCTGTCTCTTGATACATTCCTTGAGCAAATTCACATGTACAGATATAGTGGACTAGTCAGTAAAGGTGTTTCGTAATAGTGATAGACTACAGCGAGGTATGCAAGTGCTTTCTTTTAAGCATCACAATGCACACACACACACACACAAAACTTCTGTGCACCTCTTCTCACAACCTCATGAAAAACACAGTACAGTGCAATGCCCTCTGCTGTATCAGAATGTTAGCTCAACCTGGGCAGTTTTGATTGTACTTAAATGTATGTAAATACAAATGACTACTATTATTATCATTTTTTGTTGTTCCATTATTTTCGTTCATTTTCAGTCTTTGCACTTTCAGATAGGCTAGGTATTTTTTTCTAACATCTCTTGGTAATATACAGTGATAATGACAATAATAGTATTAGTAATAAGGGCGATAATGATTGGCTTGATGAATGTCTATTTATTTGTGTGTTCAATTATGTAATTTAAAAACTTGTTAATATCTGATTCACAGTGGAACAGAAAGGCACATTAATGTTATGCCTAGAACACTTTCACCTCCGCCATCATCCTCCCTCTCTCTTTTCTCCCCCGTCCTTTCTCTATCCGTACACTCTTTAGATACTGCCACTGCTTTTTTGGTTTCTGAATGTACAACTGTGCCACCCCCTTCCTCCTTCCAGCTCGCACTCCTCCTCTCTTTTCCCCGTTACTATTTCTCTGTCTGTGTTAGTGTACAGTGGAAACCTGTCAGTAAATAAAGGCCTGTTGTTTTTGCAGTGTGATATTAAGAATGGATAAATTTGCATTAATAAGCTATATTATTACAATGGTTACCATTGGGACAATTAACTATACTTATAGACACAATGACATGGATTATATGGATTGATTGTTATTGAAAACCATCTGAAGAAATAATCTGTTAAAAAAATTCATAATAAAAACCCACAGATGACGTCAGCAGATGGTCAGTGTTTTTTTTTTTCATGTTATAGTCTTGAAAAGATGACAGTTGCAGACTAAAAATATTTAAAAACAAGCATCGCAAATTAACAAATTACACATATGATCATAATGTGATTATTTAGAGAGCTGTGACTGGGATATTAAATATTTTAGAATATAAATAATGAATTGTATCTTTCCTGTTAGGCAGGACATGTCCTGTCTAAATTTATTGGATGAATCATTCAACTTTGCAATTTTGAAAGATTTAAATCATATTGGTTCATAACAATATCACACTTAATTAAACATATGAGTGAATTAAATAAACCACATACTGTTTTTATATATTAAACACATATAGCCATTTTTTAGACATATAGACTGTTTTCACATATAGCCATTTTTGCCATGTCTCCAGCTGATTTGGAATAACTTTTTGACTGCAAAACTTGCTAGGAACTATTAGGAAATAATTTCTACAATCAATCAATTAATCAATCAAATTCTATTATAATTATTACTAGTTTCAAAGGTTTTTCCTGTGTTTACAGTATTACTTTGCATCCTTTTTATTAAAAACAAAACATGAATACATCAGAATAGCGTAAACAGTCAATTTACAACAAGACACTCACTCTTAAGCCTCAAAACATCAGAGCATGATCAAATAAAAAAAAAATAATAATAATAATAATTTTGACTTAATTTTTGTAAGGTCTTATAAGAAGTGTTTTAATTCATTTCTGAATTTATGAAACAGAGGAGGGGATTTAATTATGACAAAACACAACACATCAATGTACATCATTCGAGAGGAAGTGACTTTTAAAACAACAGTACAAATGCAATGGATTCAAAAAAATCCAGTGGATTGGCGTTTGTTTAATTGTTGGTTTGTCTTATCCACATACCAGAATTCTGAACAATATTGCTAAAATTGCAACTGACCTGTTTATTTTCATTATATTGGGCATCATATTTATTGCCACTGCCTATGCTATAAACATAGGCGGAGCGTGTGTAAGGCTGGGGAAGGCATATCTATTACGTCTGTTGCTAACAAAGTGAATATGAATTGACTGTGTCGATTGCGGCATTAAATTAAGATCTGCTCATGTTGCACTGTATTTAATTTTAGGCGTTTTTACAGTGTTGCGCATTTGAACCAATTACACACATATCTGTTGAGCTTAGGAATGCAATGGCCAATCAGAAGCGTTCAGCTGAGTCATCGTTTAAACTCATCAGTTTTGTTGAGTGCGCGCGCGTTCGCTGACTGAATTCCGGACTCTTGCGAATTCTCTCATCATAAACAACAAAGCGCAGATGTACATACAATGTAAGTAAGAGATTAATTTAACAGTGTATACAGAGGTCTTATAAGAAGTGTTTTAATTCATTTCTGAATTTATGAAACAGAGGAGGGGATTTAAGGAATCTCTATCTATCTATTTATCTATCTATCTATCTATCTATCTATACAATATA